ACACTTCCATCAAGGACTATGGTTCTCAAATGTTTCGTCAGTTCACTGAGTATGTCCCATAGAGTCCTAAATATTATTATCGTTATTACCATTATTACCTTTGTTTTACGTTTAAGTTTCAATAAACTCCGTAAGGGATAAAATTAATTCAGATATTAATGTTACAACAAAAACTATTAGTTGTGTCTTTCTACCACGTTTAGTAAGTACAGTATAGATTTTGTAAAATTGGATATTAAATTTCTGTTTTTTTTTTTAATGAACTGTTCAAATTGGACAATGATGACATTATTTCTAAAATCAAACGTAATTATCAACAACATATGTTTTCAGTTGGTTGTGATGACGCCAACACCGTTTTTATCTATTCTGTTCATTTTTATTTTCATAGGAAAGCTGAATGACCATTAATGTTTTCAAATTAATCCTTAGTTAGTCGCATACATGTATGGTACACTCGTGGTCGCACGTCGGTCTTTTCCCCACCTGACACGGTCACTAATTTGTGAATCTTTTCTTGTTAAGGGACACTGAATGAATTATTCATGTTAATAAAAACAATATAACATCACTGAAGTGTTAACTGTAATTGGGAAAATGATTATACAAAGACAAATGAACTGGATATTAAAATAACAGTAATTCTTCAACGAGGGCATAATGATAGCTATTATTCACGAGTGTCGTAATTTCAACAAGTGAATAATCGTGGTCTGAAACCTCCAAAATATCTTCTCCCATTTCCTTTCCATTTATTTCATCTCACTGAAGAATAGCTACGTCATTAGAGTTAGAAAGGTCAAGAGAGTCACACATCTAAAAGTAACGAGTCGTATTTTAATAAACGAATTCCAATACAACACCATCTTGCTATAAAATTCTACTTGCCTTTCAGGTCACGTCACGGTCTAAAAGAGAGACCTCTTGATAACAAACTTCCAGTCAATAATCGGTTTATTTAGATCAGAGTCTAACTCAGTCCATTCCATGTAAAAGCAGCCCATACCATTACGGAACCACCACTGGCTTGCACAGTGCATTGTTGACACCATGGGCCCAAGGCCTCGTAGGATCTTCGCCACACTCGAACCCTCCCATCACCTCTTACCAAGCGAAATCGGAACTCGTCTGACCAAGCCCCGGTTTTCAATTGTGTAGAGCCCAATCGGTGTGGTCACGAACCCAGTAGAGGCGCTGCAGTCGATGACGTTCTGTTACCATAGGAACTCGAATCGGTCTACTACTGCCATAGCCCATTAAAGCCAAATTTCGCCACACTGTCCTGACGGATTCATTCGTCGTACGTCCCATATTGATTTCAACGGGTAATTTACGCAGTGCTGCTTGTCTTTAGCACTGACAACTCTACGAAACCACCGCTACTCGGTCATTAAGCCAATACGGTTATTAAATGAAGGCCGTCGCCCACTGCGTTGTCCGTGGTGAGAGGCCTGAAATTAGTTTTTCGTTTTCTTCCTTCTCAAGTATTTTCAGGTGTTGAAAATGTAGTATGTCATGCATAGCTTTGTTCAAATAATACGTTCGTTTTTCGAAGCTTTTCGCAGGAAACTTTGTTCGTTTTATTCTATAAACCAGAATATAGGAATAATTGGAGGAGGCTACCCGTCGGATAAGGTTGCTCTCTGGTTTATTCAGTTGCTGAGCTGTTGCACAGTAAATCGGTTTGCCTTCAAGCGGGACGCGACGCATCGTAGTCGACGTCTACCTCCATGAACACAGCCAGCCCGTCAGTCTCCTTATACCAGTGTACTTAATAGGAGTAGCAGTGGCGCAGCCCGATTTTTCGCTTAGGATATGTTTTGGCTTAGAAATGAAAAATATTTTTTTAAATATAATAATATTATTATATAATATTATTATATTCCTCATTCATCCCCCTAAATATTCCTCATTCACAAGTGTACGAGAGCTTACAGTGTGTCTACGGAGCTTTGTAAATATTATTTAAAATTATTAATTAAATAAATTATTTAATTTATTATTATTTAAGTATAACTATTGGAATTTAACCCTTTTTTGATGGTGAATAGATCATCAAAATAGTTTCTTAAGACCCTTACCACCGCACATCCATGATTCTTGCTCACAAATGTTGTTATTAAAATGTCTCGGTCATTTTTAAATGTTCGAATTATACTGAGAGTTGATTTTTGGGCCTTCTTTAATTATATTTTCCTCTTCACAGAATCTTAGTATATATACTTCTTGCTTTTAATTTGTCCAAAGCACAACAACACGATTCCATAATTATATAGCGCACATGGATTGCGTTGTACTCGCGATTCCACGTCACAGATGTACATTGCTTGGGCACATAATACCATTGAATCAGCACAACTTAAATTGGATACACATATATAGTTTCTACATGCATTGAAATAAGGTAATAAACGTAAATAAAACTACGCTGATCATAAATTAATCTTGTTCTCTTACAAACATCGAAGAAAACAATAAAGTTTCGTAACACGATAGTTATTTCATAAGATGCTCTCGTGGTTCAGGCTCAATCGCTTGCCTATCACCTATGAGGTTCCGAGTTCGATTCCCGTAGAACCTGTGAAGCGTCCTAAACCTTACTCCTATCCTTATTCCTTCCCATTTCTGGTCGATGGGTAGATGACGCTGGGCGTGTGGGACGCGAGCGCGAAGACGCTACCTGTCGGCGATTCTCTGACTTGAATTGCGCCTGACGTGACTACTACTACTCAGCGACCCCTAGAAAGCGCTTGTAACGGAGGATTACTCCAATTATAAAACGTTAACGGATGATTACTCCATGGTGTGCTCGACGCTCCTTAAGGAGTTAGGAGACGCGTTGTGTATAGAAGCAACAAATTCAAAAAAGTAAGCGGGATGTAATGAATCGCTGTACATCTGATTCACAGCACAAGCTAGGCGGCTTTTCAGAGTGAGTCGTTAATCCGCGTGAAGACTCGAATTGTCAATGGCGCGATGTTTGAAATATGAGTGGAACAAAATTTAATCCAAATATAAAATAACTAACGGACAATTTACAACTAATTTAATATAAAAATAGGTGATATTATAAGGGTATGTAACACATCACCCACATCCATGGACGCTATGCCCCTGACGAGTAGTGTACAAGATACTTCGACGATATACGCTTCGGGTGTTCGTAAATAATTAACTTGGCAGTTTAAAATTTTAGTATACATCATTACAGAAGTTTTTTAGTAAATTAGTTTGAGTGATGTTTTTGGGCACAGCAACTGTTACAGTCGTCAGTCTCATTAGTGTAGTACCGCAGGGTGTTCCTCATGAACGAAGGCAATAAATAATTTATACACCAACCTACTTACAATCTACCCATCGACCAGATTTACCTTCAATCCAAATAAGTACTTGCTTAGGTCGCCCTATCCATGGGGGGCAGAATGAAGTCATTAAATATTTTAAAAAAGACATGAAATAAGTTTGTATCCGTAAGAAATTAAACATGTATTTTTAAGTACTAAATTAAAATTGTATTTAATTTTTTTAAATAATATATGTTCAATTCTATTGTCAATTGGTTAATTTTCATTTGATTTGTACCAAATGTTATTGTATTAAAGTAAGTTTTAAGTACATCTTGTGAATTTTTTCCTGAGGGCGGCCTTAATGCTATTGCGATCCTACAGTACCTAAATCCGGCCCTGTATCCTTTTTTCTTTCTACAAAACATTGGCGAAAACACTGATGTTCCTATTTTTTTTAAATAAATATTCTTTATTTGAATATTCGCTATTCCTACTGCTGTGTTCCCTGTACAGACGATTAACGTTGAAATTCCCGCCATGCGACTCAGAATCGTTGGTTGCCTGTATCATTGATCGTTGTTTGCTTCGCTTTTTACTGAACTTTTGATGCACTACACTTCAAAGCTGATTTTCTCGGAACCATTCAAGATTTGAAAATTTCTTTTACGGAAATCTCAAAATGTTATCTGGATTCAGTTCCTTCCAGTTTTAGCCAAGCAGTGTACGCCCATCTAATACTGAAAGTACTAAAACTTGCAAGTAGATGGAAGCACTCACTGGACGTCTTTCTCAGCTGAAAACGCCCCAACCCCTAAGCTTGTGTTCTTTTCTCATATTAGGTTTCTCACGCGAGTTCACCTGAGCCACGCGTTTTTTAAAATGTCAGGTTTCTTGTTCCTTTCCTTAATACGCAAATACACAAAGTATTTCTTCTGCACTTTTAATTTTGTATAAAATATGCATTTCCTCTTTAGTATTTTTGTCCCTCTATTGTGTTCCTCCAGAGAACAACGGAAACAATGAAATTGGATAGTTTACTTCAGCTTTAAATTGGGCAAAGATTGAGACCATTTGTATTTAAATTGATATCCATATCCAGATGTGAAATGATATTTGCCATCTATATCTCTGCAGCAAAAATTGAAACATAAGATTAATTAAAAAGATAAAGAAATAATTAAGAAACTTAATTTTAAGAAATAAAATTATTTAACAATCTATAATTAAAAGGTTTGGAACAATTGAATTAATTCTTGAGACAGTAGAAACAGTGAATATATACATCACCTTTGCAATTAAAATATTGAAATCATTGATTTTTTCTCATTCTATTTTGTATAAAATGTAACGATTAAATATATCCAAATTACCACTTGGCTTTTATAATATATACCATTGAAAAAAAAAATATCATAATTGTCTGTAAAAGTCCATTCGGAAGTCTGCTAAATATCATTTTGACAACGTATTTTCAACTTATTTCTTTTCTCTGAAGTGAGCTCTCTTTCTTAACAACTTTTCCCTGAACCAAAGGAAAATGCATTTATTTTCTTAAAAAAATAATAATATTAGGAACTCATTTTAGTATTCTCATCTTAGTAGCAATAACAATAATTCAAAATATTACTAATCCATATTATTGGTTAAAAGCTTCAAAATATGTTGTTGTTTTTTATATTTGTCATCATTTGTCTGAATTGTAATGTATTTCAGGTCTCGAAGAATGGTAAATCCAGTGAAAATGGACGATTATGACAAGCAAGGATGCCTGCACGACATGTTTGCAAAACAAGCTCTGGCTACTCCAAATGCCACAGCCATTGTCACTCATGATGGCCGCAAAGTAATGTATTGTTTGCCTAAGTTCTTCTAATAATAAACATTAATCTTGTGATAAAGAAATTATTACTTTCAAACATACGTTCATCAGGAATATTTCTTTTATTACAGATGACATTTGAAGAACTTAATAATGTTACTGACATTCTTGCACTTCATTTACGCCACCTTGGAGTAAAGAGGAATACTGTTGTAGGAATCTTAATGGACCGTTGCCTTGAATATGCAATTAGCTATATCTCCATTCTCAAGGCAGGTCAGTAATGAACGTTCCACACACCTGAAAAATGTCTTAAATAAAGACTTAATGAAACAAATACATATTATCTGTTCATAAAACTTTAGGAGGAGCCTACTTGCCATTGGAAATATCATATCCTCAATCATTATTGCAATCAGTATTGCAAGATGCAGAACCAGTAGCAGTATGCACTAAAAAACTTTTTACTGAAAGATTAAATAATCATATGGAAAAAAATAAAATTATTATTATGGAAAATGATTGGATTGAAGAAATTTCAAAAAATGAACCAATTTCTGAGCCAGTAGAAGTCGGATTAGATGACATGGCATACACAGTATACTCATCTGGTACAACTGGGAAACCAAAAGGTAAAATTAATTATTAAATTACGATTATTATAAAACTGAAAGGTTACTAATAATCAAGTGATATGAATGCGTAATTGATGTGAAAAGAAATCTATGTAATAATTGAATAATTAAATATTCAACAAAGGCAAACTTTCAAACTAGAAATTTAAAGATAAGCAAAGTAATTCAAAGTATTACAAAGAATACATTCAGCTTCATTATTGCCATATTGTAGTGAAACCTCTCAGAAAGATCTCCCGTATTAAACGACCATTACTCTCAATGACTGACTTTTCTTGAAACAGAGTGAAACCCATATATTGTATGCAAATTATATCCCCAAACCACACAACCATCCCTCATGTTCACAAACCATCCCTCTCCCAAACCACCGGCCAGCCCATTATCAGCAATTTTTTTAAATTTACCCCTTTTAAAAGACCACTTTCAGAAATATTGTCAGGTGAATACCAAATTTTCAATAATTAAAATGAAAATTGATGACATTATTAATGACATTGGTATGTCAAGTCCTGTACCTCACCTTCATTCTCAAGGATATCAGAAGGCAGGTAGATCTGGGAATAAAGGCTTCTCGCTCTATTTGTTTAATTTCTTTTTATGAGACAGTGGATATTAAGATCTATAGATTAATTCTTTGAAATTAACTGAACCTTCCTTAGCTTACCTTCCTGAAATAACATCTGGTGCAATAGAATATCAAATTCTGAAATCAGAGGTATTGGCTTGCCCTGTATCACAGGAGTGCTTGTGTCGCATCTGGAATCTGAGCTTCACACCCACCAAAGACCCATTGCCTGAAAATATTTTTTAAATTGTGCATGCAGTGCGAGAAAAGTGAGGTTTTGGGCTCCTAAGACATAGAATGTGTCATGCATGCAAGAAAAAAAAAGGGTTGTTTCCAATAGACTAAAACTGAAAATGATTTAAACATTTATTTTTACCTAAGAGTAGAAGATATACATTTTTGCAAATGCAGTTAAAAAATAATAAATAATTCTAAAAAGCCATTTTTATCAAAAAGACAAAAGAAAAATTCCCCTATTAAGCAACAACCGGTGTAAAAGACCACTTTTTCATGGAACCAACAGGGGTCGTTTAATTCAGATTTCACTGTATTTTTGCAGTATAACTTCTTCTTCTTATAAAATTTAATTTTGAAATTAATTTCAGGAATTCAGTGTCCTCATCGAGGAGCAGTATTTTCTTACCACTGGCGACATATATCATATCCTTACAAACCTGATGATCGTGAAGCTTGCAATATATTTTTTGTTTGGGAAATGTTGCGACCCCTGCTAAAAGGTATAAAAAATATGAAAAATTTACGAGCATATTATTAAAATTAATTACTGAATTACTTATCAATAAATACTAATACTTCAATTCTATGCAGGGATTCCCTTATATATAGTACCTGATGATGTGATCTATGATCCTCCTCGTTTGGTTACCTTCTTAAAAGAAAACAAGATAACTCGAATGCTATTTACACCATCCTTACTACAAGCTTTGCTGGATTTTAAAGGTCTAGAATTGGAAAAGGCTTTTCAATCTATGAGGTATTGTTTGATAACTTACCAACAATTATAATTAATATAAATCAATGGTGTTACAAACTGTTTTTTCTTCGCAGGCAAATATGGTTTTGTGGAGAAGTTCTCACTACATTACTGAAAGAGCGCATTTCCAAACTTCTCCCTAAAATTCAACTTGTGAATTTGTACAGTGTATCTGAATGCCATGATCTTGCTTGTGCAGGTCAGTAGTTCTCCTCATAAGCCATTATTCAGTTTGGATGTTTGAAATAAATTTTCTTAATAATTAAATTTGTTTGATGTTACAGATCTCAGTGATATGGCTGAATATGAACAGAGAAAGTTTTGCCCTGTTGGCAAAGTTCTTCCTGGTGTTCATATTATTATAATGGATGAAGAACTCAATATTCAACCTGTTGGAGCACCTGGTGAAGTAATATGAAAGAATATGTATTTGTACATATTTTTGAATTAGTATTTGAGGAAATATTTCAAAGAAATTTTTTTTTCTTTCAAATTTTAGATATATGTAGGTGGACCAACACTGGCAATTGGGTATCTGAATAGACCTGAAGTTACTGCACAACGTTTTATTGCACGTCCAGACCATGTTCCAGCACATGTTGGTGAAAGGTTGTATCGTACAGGAGACTGGGGATACATGTTATCAGATGGAAATCTTGAAATATGTGGGCGGTGTGATTCAATGGTTAAAATTCGAGGATATAGCATAGAACTACAGGTATTGTTTACGTATTAACATAAAGTAAATAAACAGTCCACATTACGCAGATCAAATAATTTCTTATGCTAAAATTCTTATTTTCAGGCAGTGGAAACTGCTCTCCTTGATTTAACAATGGTAAACACAGGCTGCGTTTTAGCTCTGGGAGATGAAGGCTCAGAAAAGATATTGGTTGCATATATTGTCCCTGAAGGCAAAACCTCTCGCAAAGAAGTTCGGGCAGCATTAAAGAGGAAGTTGCCATTTTACATGATACCTTCAAAGTTTGTTTTCCTTAATAGGTATGTATACAAATATATGAGAAAAATTTAACATTTATTGAATTATTGCATAATTATTTGTTCTGATAGAAGTGAATGATAATAGTATATTTTCGGGAATGTAGCATTCCCATTGTTGAAGCTTCAGGCAAATTAGATAAGTCAGCATTACCAAAAATTGATGCAAGTGAAAATAGTGGAATTGATCCTCAAGATTTACCATCCACCCCTATGGAACATGAAATTGCCAAGATTTGGTGCAAAGTCCTGCGATTACCAGCAGTGGATGTTCAAGAGAGCTTTTTTGATTTAGGCGGGTATGCTGATTTATTTTCTTTATTTACATAATGACACTTTGGTAATATTATGATTTTAATTTATGGGTTGTTCATGTTTTTAGACATTCCCTATTAGCTACTCGATTGCTAAGTGAAATGAATGAACATTTAGCATTAAATTTAGTATTAACAGATTTGTTCAATCATCCTACGATTCAGTCCATGGCCAGTTTCATAGAAGATCCTGTAATGGCAAATGGAGGAGAGCATGTACATTTGGATTTGGAAGCAGAAGTAGATCGTCATGATCAAGGAAAAACTTTGTGAGTATCATTTGACAACACTACATAAGAGACTGAATGTAAATCAATGGCCTGTGAAATATTACGTATCAGTGATGAATAATGAATAGTTTTCTAAGTAGGCGTAATTGTTTGAAGTAATAATTTGGAAAATGAATTTGGTAACTACAAAAAATTGTTTATGCAAAGAAACTTAAGAAATATTATTTTGATTTCTTCGAAAGAAATTATTGTTGAGAATTAATCTGCTCCTTCCTGATTTGCATCTTATTCCATGTCAAAACCATGTTTTAGCACTTGTTGGTGAAAGGCTATATCAACTAGCTACATCATAAGCAATATCATAAGTTATATGTTGGTGAAAGGCTGTACATTGAAAGTACATGTTAACTGATGTAAATCTTTAAATATGTAGGTGGTAAATCATTTAGCATTCTACAAAATTTACTAATTATATAAGGTAGGAATTTTGTCTTTGTAATGTATCTAAAAGAAAGGACTTCGAATATTGTCTCAAGAAGGTTTTTCAAAATATTGATAGCGTGGCTGATTACTCAAATATTTTCTTATCACAATAATCTATTACACAGCCTCGCACATCCAGACTTTCCCACCTGCTCTGTCCATATTAGGTTTGTTGCAGGTTGCAGAGTTATTTCAATTTAACATGTCAACTTATTCTCACCCCTTAGAGTGAAATGTGTGCTTTACCCTCACAGTGGGTTTTTTCCAAATTTAAAGAAATATTACCTAGCTTGGTTGAAATTGCTCTGGCCATTCAAGCTTATATGAGAACATACATAAGCATAACCCATTTTTATATTTTAAGATAAAATATCTCATTTCACTCATGAATTGTGACAACTTAAATATGTAAGGACAAACTTTTGTTGAAAATAACCCTAAATTTTTCTTTAGACTTTGTATGGTACAGAGCACTTTAATCATACTTATATATGATCCATTTTCATTAAAACTTTCTAAGTTACAAGTAGAAATGCCTTTCTTTTTTTAATTTTACATGCAATGTGATATTTACACTGTAAATGTTTTTCAGACTTTAATTCTTATAAAAATAAATTGAAAACATGTATATATTTTCTTAAAATCTTCAAAGATTTTGAAACATTCTTTAAAAATGTGCCATTTTCTCAAAAATTATTACTTCAAATTTTATGGAGAAAAGTTTCATTTCAAAATATCATTTTGCTGTTCTATAATATTTCAATAGTCTTTATTTTATTTGAAATGAAAGGGGTCTACATTAGAGAACTGAAAATACTGTGTAAAGGTGCTTTTTGATGAAAAACAATATCTTCAATACCATCATCACACTAACAAACACTAGACTACATTTTTAGTTGAATTGTTTCTAAATATTATGTCCTACATAATAAGTTTTAGTATTGATTTGGGAGAAAATGTATATTAATATGGAATGAAATGTTTGAAACTGGAAACATTTTGTGAGTTCCCTTGACAATGATTTTTTTCAGTCATAGTAGTGACATGAACTGCTGACAAGTGCAAGCTGGGTTCGAGGGGCCCTTGCCCCGGAACTCATATCTTAAAGGAGTGCTCCTTCTCAAAAAGCCAGATCTAAGTAGTGCGTTCTATTTCCCAAGGTGGTCTTATATTCAGTCCACCATTCAATTGTAATGAATGAGCTTTGACAAAAATTAATTATTGTTGTTCAATTAAAAAAAAAAAAAAAAAGAAAGAAAGAAAAGTAATTTTTATACTGAAGTGGGTCCCAGAAAATGTTAAGAATTGGAAATTGGGGTGTATCTTTAAAATATTTTGTTGAAGAAAATTTTGTGGCAGATGGTTAAAATTTTAATAGAACTGTTTGTTTTTTTTAGAATGGACATTAGACTTCGAGCTTTTTGGCGTTCCTTTCAGCTGTCCAACAAATGGAGAAGAGACAAAATTTTGTTGACTGGTGTAACAGGTTATGTCGGTGCTTTTTTACTCAAGGAATTATTAACTACAACAAAGGTATAAATAAATATGTGTTAATAAGATCCTCTCATAAGTTGCTGTGATAACTGTGAGTACATTCAGAAAAATGTTGTCTTTCAGGCCACTGTATATTGCCTTGTAAGGCAGTCACCTGGGATGACCCCCCAAGATCGTGTCATACGCAGTCTTCGTGACTTTGGTATTTTTGGTATTTCTGAGGATGCTGAAGAACTAGAAAAGAAAATTGAATGGAGAGTTGTCCCTATCAAAGGTATTAACCATTTAAAATATTTTCATTAAAACTTACTGAATGGATTTGCTAGTATAGAATAAACTTTTTTCTGTGTAACCTATATGTAATATTCATGTGTCTTGATGTCTCTAGAGCAAGGGGAAACACTATTTACCGTTTAAAGAAATATAATATGTTAATATTATTAAAAAAATATATTATAAAAATGTATTTAAAAAATCTCATATTCTGAAGGCCATAAGCTGTCTTCTGTGTCTTAATTCTCCGGAAAAAAAATTCTACAGAAACCCATTCTGTGTAAGGAGCTTTCTTCTCAGTGACTTCAACTGCTGGGTCAAGTATTTTTCATCACAACAAACCAGTTTTAGGATATTTAAATGATCTTTTAGGCTTTTTCAAAAGTTGATTTGGCCTATTTTACGTTGTTTTTTTTTTTTTTTTTCTTTTTTCTTATAATGTTAGTATTAAGCTGAATAATAATTACAATATATATTATTTAAATTATTGACTCATTTTATTTAATGTTTTTACTTCTAAACTAATGATGCCTTAGGTGCAAGGTGTAAAAATAAAAGACAAAATGGATTGAAAATATAGACACCTGAAATCACCCAAGCCATTAATGATAAGAAACATGCGTACAATAAAACGATACTAAATATTACAGAAGAAACCAGAGGGGCATATAAACAAATAAGGAACTACATCCAGGTGCTTATAAGAAAAGCCCACCAAGAATCATGGGAACGATTTGATAGTAATATTGAGAACGATGTGGTCGGACAACAAACCTTAGCTTACAAAGTAATGAGGCATCTCAATAGCAACACAAAGGAATCTGCAGAGCTAAATATAATTAAAGAGAAAGAGTGGTTGGATGGCTATAAAAGTTTATGGTAAGACTCGAATGTGGAAGAGGCAGAAAGAAGTAACTATGAAATATATAATGAAGATTCATTGACAATTAATGAATTAGTTGAATTGCTGAAGAAGCTAAAAAATCAAAAAGTACCAGATGGTACCAGGTCTTGATGGGATTCATCTGGAATTAATCATGGGATTCATCTGGAATTAATTAAATACACTGATAGCTCATTAAAAGTTAGATTTCTTAATTTATTGAATACCTGTTGGGAGACTTGCACTATTCCAGAAGAATGGGTCAAAGCAAAGGTAATATCACTATTCAAAAAAGGAAATAGAAGTAAGCCAGAGACATATAGAGGAATTACTTTGCTACATTTGTCATACTTGATATATACTAAAATTATTAACAGCAGATTAACAACTCTCTAGATATTATATTATTAGAAGAACAATGTGGATTTTGACAAGGAAGATCATGTTTCGATGATATATTCTCCATTAACTTACTTATACAGAAGAGGGTAGAATTTAATCAGGAAACTCATATTGCTTTCAGAGATTATGAGAAAGCATTCGGCATGGTGTATCAACATTCGATATGGAAGATAATAAATAAAAGTGGCATTCCACTACATTTAATTCGAGTAATCAAATGGTTATACCCCAGAACTATAAATGTATTGGATTTAAATGGAAAACTATCCCAGAAATTTAAAATTAATCGAGATGTTAGACAAAGTTGTAGCCTATCACCATGTTTATTTAATATTTATATAGACGACATTCTAAGGGAATGGAAACAGTGTATTATTGATGGCATCGAGTTAAACTCCGAAACTACTCGAAATACTTTATTATTTGCAGACAATCAGATAATTATCCAAGAAAGTGAGGATCAGTTACAGAGGGTTTCCTGTAACTAAATATCATATGTGAACAATATAACTTGAGAATCTCCACTCAGAAAACCAAAGCAATGATGTTTAGGCATACATCTTGTATGAAGTAAGATAATAATAAATAATAAAATTATAGAACAAGTTAGCCATTTTAGATATTTGGGCTGTGATATTACTTTTGAATATAATAAATATATTTCAATAAAACCCAAAGATTCCAAAACATCTGTGGAACAATAGTGAAAGATTTGAGAAAGAAAACAAAACACAAATTTTGTTAAACAATGACTATCCCCAGACTTGTTTGTGGATGTGTGACGTGAGCCATAAAAAAGAAAAAAATTACCGGAATTCAAATGTCTCAGATGAGGTTCTCGAGACAAGTCAAAGGCTGCACTATATTAGACAAAATAAAAAATGAGATAGTCCGAGAAGAATTTGAAGGGCTTCCATTAATAAATAAAGTACAACATACACGACACGATGCTCCCAACATATACACAGAATGAGTAGTGACCACATCCCAAAACAAATATATCACTACAGATCTCATGGTAAAAGGTATGTCGTTCATCGAAGATTAAGATGGCATGCCAAAGACGGAACAGGAGACTCTCCTAATCCCTGAACAGATGATGATTCTAAACTTGAAAGAGAAAAAAAAACAATTTTTAGAATATTTTAGATATTTAAGAACAATTTTTCAGCTTCTTATATATTTTGTTGAAAATTAACAACCAAATCAAAAATGCACTTCAAGATAAGGTGTAATAAACAACCATGTATAATCCTGAAATATGTAATATGAAGTACATTTTATACTCTTTCAATGCACACTGATGACAAATTTGCTCAACACAACATGAAATCATTATGCATACTTCATAGATGCCACTTCTATCTGATTCTGTGGTAATTCACCAGATGTGTCTTCTCCTAGAAGAACTCCAGTTGTGTTATTCAACTTTGCGTTGAATTTTAGAAGCTCTGACAAGAAGACACCACCTACAATCCTGAATATTTCCATGAAACAGCTAAAATGATGTTCATCCTTTCATTTAGTAGAAGACCTCATTTTATCTCGAAATTAATATTAATCTAATTAGTGACAATAAAGTCAGGAAAGTTAGATGCGATGGTAAAATTCTGACAGCAAGGATTCAGGCAAGGTAAAATTCTGATCAACCAAATAAGTTTTTTTAAGCCAATTTTGCACAGATATTCTTGACTGTCCAGAAGACACTATGGCAGGCACAGTTGCCTAAGTTTCAACTAACAAACTGCGACCTTCCTCAAAGTGAAATATGCTGCCTGGGAAGCCCTGAGGAAGGTCGCAGTATGTTGGTCAAATGATTAGCAAGTGGCATTTCCTTGAGAGTCAGGTATCTATTTACTCCAGCCACAGCAGACTATACTTTCAACATTGCAACTAATTTTAGAACCTTTAGGATTTGTGTTTTTGACTCAGAAATTACTGAACTGGAATGTGTACAAAATAACGACGTTAACAAGTGAAGAACAAAATATATTAAAACCTCAGAATGTGGGCCCTATTCAAAAATATGGATGAATATTCTGAGAGTAGTTGTGTTGTTTTGATTGAATTTTGATTGATTTAATTTTGATTTTGACACACTAAGCCACTGGTGAAGGACCTCATGATGATATGTTCTGAGTTAGGTTTTTTTTTGTTTTCCAGGTGATATTACTCTTGTTAATTTAGGAATGACTGAAGATGATTATGCATACCTTTCATATGAAATAGACACAATTATTCATGCTGCTGCTACAGTGAATCTCATTTATCCATACAGAGCTCTACATAGTTCAAACGTCCTTGGTACAGAAAATATTCTAAACTTTGCACAAGCAAATAAAATCAAACCAGTACATCACATTAGGTATAATACACATAATTATTTAAATAATTTGATATTTATTTCAAGAGTTAAATAATTGGCTCTAAATTTCTTTAATAGCACAGATGCAGTATTTCCTCCAGGTCTAATATACTGCAGTGAGGACTCAGATATGTCTCAGTATGCAGATCAACTAACTAGTGGATACAGCCAATCTAAGTGGGTTGCAGAGCAATTGGTATTCAGAGCCAAAGCAAGAGGTCATCCTGTCTCCATTTATAGGTATAATGTTGATAATTACTAAACACCTGAGTAAGGAAGGTCTTTAGAAAAGTATGACTCTCAATAACGACATATTACAGATGCGGTAATGTAGCAGGGCCGCAAGATATAGCAAGTTGGAATCCAGCTGATTTCACTCTATTGATGCTCCAAGGGTGCATACATTCACTAACAGCACCAGACATAAATTGGCAGGTAAACTTGGACTTTTTATAGGCAGAAGGCTTTTCTTATTAAATCTAATGTAGCAAAAAAGTTAAAATTGTCTAATCATTGTATTGTTTGATTAAATATTGCAAAGGGAGTGAAAATAGAAATAATTTAAACACATTTTTTTTAGAATCAGTAATAACTCTATTCACATTTTGTATCAATCATTGTCAAGGGTGAAGTTAATTAACAAAAGGTAATGTTGGTTTAGTTTTTCTAAAAATCAATCTCTGAGTTGCTTAACATGGCCAGTGGCAAATTCAAGCAGAGGGCAAAGGATGCCATGCAATCCCCTCCAAAGTCAAGGGTTTCTGTAATTTTACTCAGTGTATTCAAAACAAAAACTATTGATCTTAACATTTCAAAAGTAGTACTCCAGCATGAATATACATTTCTTTTATTTCAAGATTTAAAAAATAATTATTTAAAAAATGTGTAAGAGTGAGTAGGTAAACTAATATAATCCCCTTCCCCCCCTTGAAATACTTTCTGGATATGTCTAAATGATAATACATGTATTGCTTTCTAGAGTATTTTTTGATGTTGCAATAGTTTCAAGTAACTTTCACTAGTTTACTTAAATATTATTTTGTTTCATTGTATCGATTGAAATAATTATGTATTAATTGCATCAGCAAAGATAAGTTTGTTTTGTTACGTTTTCTTTAAATAGGGAAATGCTGCCCTACAAATGTCCTTCATCGAAGTAGATGATAACAACAGAATTATAATTTATTGAATATTCATCACACTGGTGCAATAACACTACTAATGTATAAAAACATAAAATAAATGTTTAAAGATGATTTATATGATAAATATTTTTTCAGATTGAGTTGACACCTGTTGACTTTGTTAGCCGAGTGATAGTGACAATGGTTCAAGACTTAATGCAATCAATAGGAAAAGTTTTTCATTTAACAAACACAAACACAATGGACTCTCAGTAAGTTAACTGATATACTGATATTTATATTTGGAACTATGTATGTAAGATTTTGATATACTTAATTGTTATATGGTAATATAGAACAAAAGGCTACTAAAATCAAAATACTGTTTTCACTTCTTATTTTTGGGTTTCCTTCACATTTCGTAATTTTGTTTGAACTCTCTTTATAAATAAAATGAAAACACTGGAACAGATCCTTTTAATGTGTTATTTTTATTTCCTGTTTCTGTATTTTTTTCTGAAATTATGTTTTGTCTGTGAATCTTGTACATGCTTGATTAACTAAAGTTTTTAAAGCCTTATCTTATTTAAATCTTTGTACATTTTTCAGTCTCTTGAAACTTTGTGTTTCAGGCTGTTATGGCAACTCTTGAGAGTTCAAGGTTATGAGTTATCAATTGTATCATACAATAAATGGTACGACACCATTAAAACAATGTCACAAGATGATTCATGCAAAGCAGCTGGAAGCTTTAGAGCCCTTCTCTACTTGTTGGATAATCTTGTCATGTATATTGAAGTTTCAACATCTTTAATTGTCACTTATTAAATCTAATGTTCTGTTTTTTTTTTAATGCAAGTGTTGTTAATTTTCAGAGAACCAAGTTTTTTCTCAAACATGACCACATTTACCCAAGATAATCTCCAGCATTTGCTCAAACTTCACAACATGGAATATCCACCTGTGAATGCAGAATTGATGCGCAACTATTTAAGATATTTAGCGAGAATAAATTTAATACCTCGCCCACACAGAAAACGTAGAGACAGTAAGAGAAAAAGTTAATATTTCATAAATTTAAAATTAAATTTCAAAGGATGTTATCTAATATGACGATTTGTGAACTTCCAGCTGCCCAGTTATTACATGGACTAGTTGCTCTGGTAACAGGTGCATCATCAGGAATTGGTGCAGCCATTGGAGAACATCTAGCAGTGGCAGGGGCGAAGGTAGCTTTAGCAGCACGAAGAATAGATCAGCTACAAAAGTTGCAAAAACAGATTGAAGGTCAAGGTGGAATGGCTGTATGTGTTGAAATGGATGTTTGCAACTCTGAATCAGTAAGCCGTGCAACTTCTTTATCTTTTGTACAAATCTTCAATTTCTTCTCAAAGTAAATTCAGAATTATTGTACTGGCATTGAGTTTTCTAGAAAGGTCACTACATTTTTGTCAGGAATTTTATTATTACCTTCAAACTTTGTGATATCAGATACTTTTTACAATTATTGTTAAGTATATTTCTTGCAACTGAATATTTGTAGCCTTAGTTTGTAATATTGTGATCTTTAGTATTTTATACTAAGTTTAGTAGTTTAGAAGTTTATGCTAAGTTTTAGTCATTTAAAAGAAGAAGGAGAAATGATACCAGATGAAAACATCAAATGAAATAAAAATACTCTACATGGACTCAAAAATCACCATAAAAATTAATAATGGGACCATCACAAAAAAACTTCACATAAACAGAGGACTGAGAAAGAGATGCAGCCGATCACGTAACCTTTACAATATTTATGCCAACGGTCTCATCAAAAAATGAAAGAAGTCAGTAAATCAAGGTAGATACCTTAACAAAAAACAAACTATACAAACAGTCCTGTTTGCAGATGACCAAATAATTTTGGCTGAATCAGAAGATTAACTCCAAATAGCAATACATGAACTGAATAAAATAGCAAAGACCTATGGCATGAAAATCTCAACAAAAAAACCAACAAAAATAGTGGCATTTCAAAGAAAGGAACTAAGAAAAGTGAAAATAGTCATTGAAGTGGAAATAATAGAGCAAGTATCAACATTCAAGTATTTAGGCAATGACATTGAGCAAAACTCCCAGGACTCCCAACACAACATTTTGAAATATAATAGAATAAATAGAATAATTTAAAGACACTTTGGGAAAGACATGTCTCAAGAAATCAAATTAAGAGTACACAACATGACAGCCAAACCAATGCTATTATATGGATCAGAAACCTAGATCCTAAAACAAAGAGGCAACCAAAGACTGGAAGCAGCTCAAATGAGGTTGCTAAGACGGCTATACAAGACTGGATCGATGGAGAAGTAAAGACAAGGAAAATATTGAAGACAAAAAACATACCAACGTTAAAAAGAACCAGAAAAAATGGCTGGAACATTAAAAAAATGAAAGAAGGAAGATTCCCAAAGCTGCCCTAAAATGTAAACCACTTTGATAGAGAGATTTTGGAAGACCAAGAAAGAAGTGGATCATGCAGGAATACCTGGAAGACTGAAGTATTTCAGGTCTACTGCTTAAAATTACAGGCCCCTCCTTGGCCTATTATCCAGCAGTTCATGATGATGATAATGATTGTATTTAATGATAATATTATGATTCTTTTTTGTTACTTTCAGTGAGAATTAAATTTTGTAGGACAAAAATAATTCTGTCCAATGTCACCCCATATATTGGGGTGTCTTCATATAATATCCAATAACTAAACGATGGATTTCAACCTATGGGGTATTTTGGTCGTTTAAGAATATTCTAAAACTAATATTAATTTAGACTCGAAGAAAAAACATCAGCTATCAAAATATAGCATTTCCAACAAATATATGCTTACAAAGCATCTCTATCAATATAGATTTGCCTTTCTCTCCATTTGGAATCAGTGACAACTTTGAAATCTGGTCTTCAAAATTGTATCTTCATCCAGAACAATTGGATTTGCACCAATGTTCATTGCAATTCCTACAAAGTGTACAAATAAGTGTTATTTTCTTTCTTATATTCATAGTTGGCAATGAAATATGTTGTTTCTATCTGACATGAAGAACTCATATTTATTTTGTTAAAAATGTTTTGCCGAAATGGAGATACCAGACGACAATAGACTGGTCTTAATATCTTTCACAGCCCTACGTATGTTTTTAGGATAACAGTTTGGCCTAACTGGCACTCGAAGATGTTTCTTGTACTTCCTTCCCACTTCCAAAATCACACCACACCATGCTCAGTGTATACAAAAATGACTCTAGATCAAATAGCTTCAGGAATGTTCAAGTTATTAGCATATAACAAGGCCACATAATTGGACTAAATAATTAATTTGTATGTCTTGTGAATAAATATAGAATTCTCAGTATAAAGATTGAAAAAAGATGACTATCTTTGCAAAAGAAGCTTATATAAAAGTTTTTGGTAAAAAGGTAGATACTGTTCGAAATCACCTCATGTGTCTGATGTCACCCTATTTGATGGTATTCTTTAAATGGTGTAATGTAATACAGTGTTGAATTGAACCTGCGACCATAGCAGTTCCTTTTTGATAAAACAAAAGGGTATTTTTTGTGTAGCTTTGCTTTCACAACAGTTTCGAGGAATTAGTTTTAATATCATTTTATATTATCTATTTCATTTCATTACATCATAACGAAAGATAGGTACAATTTATTTTGCTTTCAAAAGAGGGGCATTTTCAGTGAAAAATAAAAATAATCTGTATTACATATTATTTTTTAGGTTAACAAAGGAGTGAAATATGTAGAAAATCTTTTAGGACCAGTAGATATATTGGTAAATAATGCTGGAGTAATGTACTATTCGTTTATGAAAAACACTGAGCTTGAAGACTGGAAGCACATGGTAAACGTGAACATTAATGGAACTCTCAATTGTCTGGCTGCTGTCTTAGGGGGTATGGTTGAAAGGAAACAGGGACATATTGTGAATATTTCATCTGATGCTGGAAGAAAGGTAATGAATAATGTTTTTTTTATTAAATAAATTCTTGTTTAAAATATTTGTTTATTGAAATAAAATGTTATTACTAAACATTTGTTGACCAATACTTTTTAAGTTTTGTACTACATACTTTTATTTAGGTGTGTGCCATTTTTGGAACATAAAATAAACTTACACCAACCAACAACAAAAAGGGGAAATCTATAAAAAGGCCGCATGAATTACATTGAAAATAGCTTAATTTTAATTTTAATTTCATTTCACTTAAATCAAGGCAAATTAATTACGCAAAATAACAAAAATATAATATAAACCAGCATGCAATGCAAAATATGAGACAGTGAAATTGGAGATACTATATTCATAATCTAAAATGATTTACCAACAATTTGCCCTTGGCTATGAAGTAATTTAATTCCTAAACCTTAACGAGGGGAACTCTTTGATAGTTTTTCATTAGCGTCTTTGCATTGAAATTGTTCAGTCAATCTAGAAGAGATTACAATAAGTACCTAATTTGTGTAGAAAAATCAGATCTTCTGACACGATACCCAAGAATCCAGGGATGGATAAGAATAAATTTCAAGAAGTAGCCAATCTGAATACACATGCATACATATGCATGAACATACACAAAAAGTTCATGCAAGAAAAGTGACTCTTTTTAAAATATGATTTTCTTCCTCATCAACTTGGGGTCAATGGGAATATTTCTTTTTTTCTTATCAGATGAAATTAATATGTAATAAAGGATGTTTTAAAAAAAAATACTAAAATTTGGGAGTAATGTTGGATCTGAATTCAGAGATTACCAATCTTAATGTAAAATTCCAATCATTACAGCAAAAGATTTCTAGCTCGCGAACTTCTTGAAATTTCATATTATGAATTAGAAAGTGCACATTCCTTTACACGTTTTGACTACTGAAAAATGTAAAAGCCATTAACTTTCAAAATGAAAAAATAAGTCCTTCAAAGGGTGAATAGCTCTAAAAATTTTAAGATTCTATAAATGTGGATCTTTCAAACCCAAATTTCATGAAATTCATTAATTATAATGTTTTTTGAGAATTTTCTCAGTGGATTACATTAAGCACTTGCCTAATTCAAGGTCAAGAAAGAGTAATAGTTATCTTTTAATATCATGAAATGGTCTAATGTATCTTGCATCCTTGCTTCTAAGAAAAGAAAGCTACATAACAGGTATAAATTTATTGTCTCTTTTTCTTAAGTTAAAGGATTTTAGATTAATAGAATACCATAAAGTTACTCCATAATGGAGTGAAATATATAGCCTACTTGTTTAAATGAAAAAATTGTACAAAGAAAACAAATTGGTCATATAGTGGTTATTGTTTTATTTACTGAATCCAAGTTAAAAGAAAAATTTCATTATTAGTAGTATTCATTTCAATGCATTGAACTTTTCAAGTATGTCTAAAACCATGAAAATGAAACTTACGTTAACAATTACAGAATATTTAGAGCTATAGCTCAAAACTGTATTATTGATTTCAAATTTTCTGTAGGTAACCATGATTTTCAAGCCATGAAAATTTTGTGTTTAATGGGTTAAATCTTTCATTACAATTACATCATTCATTGTTCTTTTTCTTCTTAAAGGAGACACATAATATAAAAGAAATAGCATGTAGAGAGATAAATCTTTCATTGAAATTAAATTGTGTTTATATTTTACTTCTATAAAGAGAAAAAATAATTTCAAGACATTCCGTTTTGTAAACAAATTTCAGGCATTTGCAGGTCTAGCTATTTATTCAGGAACCAAATGGTTCATAGAAGCCATGTCTCAAGCATTAAGGCAAGAAGTGGTTGATGCTGGTATAAAGGTTACATGCATTCAACCTGGAGATGTTAAAACAGAACTTCAAGGCCATACCAAAGATAAACAGGTGTGTTGAAAACCATTTAAAAGTTTATATTTGTAAGGAGGTTTTAACATCTTTTTAAATATTTCTTGCAGGCACAGGAGATGTATGACATGAGTAGTAAAACAAGAATTCTGGAGCCAAGTGATGTTGCACAAGCAGTTATGTTTGCGGTAACACAGCCTGGATACTGTGCAGTAAATGAAATTTTGGTTGAGCCAAGGGAAGCTCCATTGTAGAATGTAACTAGATTATCTTTTGCAAGACACAAAACCCATTATATTGACATGACTAATTTTGATATGTAAAAAATTGCATCAGCTTTTTCTAATTACACTTCACACATTCTAAGCTTTACAATTTAACGTGTACAATCATGTAGATACTACATAATTCTGTGCTACTTAATGCATGTTGTACAAGTATTCAATTTTAATTGTCAGATGAAATATATGTTGAATTTTATCCATTGTTCCTTTTAATTAAAAAAATTAAAATATTTTTCACATGAAGACTTCTGGCGCAAAATGCTTTGAACATTATTGCAGCGAAATGTTATTGTCAATAATGAAATAGTGCATCTTAAATTTGCAATGATATGTCAGAAAACACCAACTTCAATACAGTGGTGAAAGTCAATCAGTATTCTATAGACATCTTGTAAGCAGATTGATAAGATAAAAAATATGCTTGTAATATTGTAAAAATAAATTGTAATATTTCAAATTCTAAGTAGCCTGCTTTGATGGTTCCCTAAACATATAAATTTTAGGGCAAGGATTTATAATTTAAAATATCATGTGCCTATATATGTACAGACCCTGGCCATATTATTAGACGCATCCTAAACTTTCAATAAAAACCAAGTTTTTGTGACGAAAAATGTATTTTTTTATTTCCAATGAAATACATAAGTAATAATTGAATACTTACGATACAAACAAGATATCATATGCAAAATGATGACTGTCAGTATAATATATATAAACTAATTTTCATAAAAAATCTCCATGCACATATCTTTAATACTTTGTCAGGCCACCTTTGGCAGCTATTAGAGCTTTAATTCTTTATGGCATGCTATTAATGCATGCCTGGACTGTTTTTTGCAACTTTGGATGATGGTACCAGACTTGAATTATTTTCTCAAAGAGGCGAATTTTTGTTGTTATTTCTTCCTTTGTGATTTCCCTCTTCATGAGCTCCCAAACATTTTCTATTGGGTTCATATCTGTGAATTTCCTGGCCATGGTAAACCAGGAACATTTTTCTCCAACAAAAATGATCAAACTGTTCGAGCAGTATGACATCGAGCCCCATCTTGCATAAAAACAAATGATTCTTTATTTGTGAACCATTCCTGTAGTTGAAGCAGCACTTGTTCTCCACTACTTGCTTGTGTTGGCCTTGTTTCATGATGCCCTTAACCAAGTACAGATGACCCGTGGCTTTGCCACTGATCACTGACCAAATCATTGCATTGACTGGGTGTTTCACAGTCTGGATGACACAATCTGAATGATACATTTCACCAGGGTGCCTTCTCACAAATTGATGTTTGTTTGCTAGAATTTCGAAAGTGCATTCATCGCTAAAACAAACCTGAAATACAAGTAAATGACATTAGAATTAATTTTGGTAGCCATTTATAATTATAAAAAAGCACTAAACTAAATTTTTACCAATTTCCAGAAGTCCATATCTTTATTCTCAAGGTTCTTAGCCCATGCAAGATATTTTTCTTTCATAACAGCTGTTAATCTGGGTTTGTGGGCTGGTCTACAAGCTTTAAAATTCATTTGTAGTAGTGTACACCCTCCTGTCCTTTTAGATACACAGATTCCACTACTTTCCAAATTAAAATTAATTTGTTTTGTAGTAGCAAACCAGTTTTCATGGAAATCTGCCTCAAACATCTCTCAGATCTTTGTGAAAATATTCTCTTCCGTCCACATGAGTTCTTCCTTCGTGGGGATAATTCTTCACCAAGGACAATTTTTTTCTTCCTTCGAGACATCTCACGATTTGAATAATTTTCTGCATCAACAAGAGCTTTCACTGCATCGATCTTCCGAGGAAACAAATCACTTGCCTTTCCCATTATTTTTATTCAAAACTATCAGTCTTTCGTATACAACAATTCACAATTTGTAAATAAACACGGCTATAACTATTTCACAAACTAATAAATGAAAAATAAACTATCTTCGTGCAACAACACACTACTCATGTCACTTCTTGTTCTACTCAACTCTTGTAATTTTTTGCGTCTAAGCAACAATGAGGTGTCACAACAATGGTACATAATGACAAATTATGTGTTAATTATTATTAAAATAAGCTTTGTTTTTATTGATTGATTCGCAACAATGTCAGATGTAATGTACTGCAGTGAGAGACTTCAAAACAACATTTTGCTAAAAATTTGGAGTGCGTCTAATAATATGGCCAGGGACTGTAAATAAATATAGATAAAAAAGTTCAAAATATGGAGTAAAACAAGGACTAAACACATTAAAATAAATTTTAAGCAAACATATTAGAAGCAAAAATAGAATGGCCAACTATCTTAGTTTTACTGTCAGCCACAAGGCAAGATCATCAGTTACAAAAATATACACTATTTTTGTGTTGCTAAAAGGAAGTTTCTATATTGTTTCTGACCAGTGACAAAGTTCTTCTTTTCAACATCTTTGGGGTAGCTGAAACTTCACTCAACATCAGAAGAACAATAGGGACAATTTTTCACTTAGCAATATCTTATAGGCTTTGTCAACCCAGATCTATTACAGTTACAACACCTACCAAAATTAAATTAAAAAATGAAAACAATCTTCCACAAAAAGTTTGAAGAATATGGAACATTTTCAAATAATATATTGAAATATGCAATGATATGTGAGTTTTCCTTAAATATGTGAAAATTCATACATTACCTACTTCTTGAAATATGGAATAACACAGATAGTTTGAAATTAAATAGTTTCAAACAACTTAAACAGGCATATGGAGCTGAAACAGCACATACCTTACCTTCATGTACTTAGTAACTGTTATGTAATATTATTTTACTGTATTTACTGTCTATATCACCACATCTCAATTCATGAGCCCTGACAACAATGTGTGCATGTGGCAATAGGCGCTGCCAACAATGGGTACATATTTTCTTATCAATTCTTGCTAAAAACACCATTCTTGCCCTAAATGGAACTGTTTTTCAGTTTGAATTGTTGTTTTATGAAAGTTCTTATAAGGTGTTCTTTACAGAACACCATTTAGATTTATTTGGTCAAAAAACTGTATGTGACGTATGGGGGAGAAGATTATCTGCGCACGGTTTCTTGAGTTCCAGAATCCCTTCCCGTCATTTTAATTATAAATAGTTGAAAGATGAGTAAAAGTTTAAAATAAAAAAAGTTTAAAAGATTAAAAAATCGTGAGATTTGCAATATTTTTTAAAAAATAGGCCTTTTCGTTTCCGAAATATAGAAAACTGACTTGCATCGGTAAACGAATTGCAAGTATGATTTTTCTGCATTGCAAACAAAATAGTAACTCGCCTTTACCTCTTCTCTTACCATTTCAAACAAAAGGAGTTCAACAAAGCGTGCGCATAGTGAAGCTACATTTATGTCCAGATGCAAAACGAGACGCCATCTCAGCATTTGCTCAATGGATCAGAGAAACTGGACAAAAACGTAATCGAGATGGGGGGGGGGTCATTGTGCCGGAAGCTGAAGTACAATATTTGTTATAAAAACATTTAAGAAAATATACAATACATATGTACAATTCAATATATATCACTGTTTTGTTAAAATAAACATTATTTTTATTTTTGATAATCAGTATAGTCTCTAATTGTATATAAACAAATATGCAGCAGACAAGATTTTACTTTTAACTTAAATTTGTGAACCGTCTTCAATTGTTTAATGTCATCTGGCAATGCGTTGTAAAGTAAAGTAAATTTATTGTCTGTGGATTTCTGATAGTGAGTTGTTGATATTGACACTTGATCCACGTGATTTTCTATGACGAGTGTTGTAATTATAAATATCAGTATTGCATGAAAAAATGTTAAGTAAGTTAGACCGTTAAGTAAGTCACTTTTGACAAATATTACAGATTCGTAAATAAATAGGCAATGTAGTAGTAAGTTTCCAAGCCCAATAGCTTGCAGGAATCACGCGGATGGCATTTATTCACAATTCGAAAAATTTTATTTTGCAATCTAAAGGTCTGAGTACTACATGATGAGTTTCCCCAGAATATACCATGCTCAGGCGGGAATGTACATTTGCAAAATTCACGCAACGAGCTGCACGAAGGCTGACAGAATTTGATAGAATTCTGAATGCGTATCATATGAACGTAATTTAGTGTTTAATTTTATTTGTACATTCCATTTGAAGTTTGAGTGAATTGAGAGACCTAGAAATTTTGTTACCTGAACATCACCTAATTGCATATTGTTCATTTTCAATGGAGCATGCGATTGCTGATTTGAA